TTTGAAAAAGTGCAAAGGAATTTTATTTGGGTTTTCCAATTACAGCGACTAAATATAACCGAAGTGTCGTCATTTTGCAAAAAGTGTCTTGGACCAAAACCACCACGAGCTCACCATTGTAGAATTTGTAAAAAGTATTTTTGTACAACAAAATAGTTGCCTACTTTGACTGACATTTCGCGCTTCTTTTCAGGTGCATACTCACCATGGATCATCACTGGTAAGAAGTATTCTCAATTTTAAAGATACTCAGCTCAACTTTTTGTTTAATCTCTTGCAGTCCCTGGTTGAACAACTGCATTGGTCATTACAACCATCGATACTTTTTCCTCTTCTGCTTTTTCGCTTGGCTGGGCACTGTTTTTGTGGGTGTTTTTGGAATTTGGATTTACATCGATCACTTTTATCCTCGACATAGCATTTTCCAAGAGCCCATATACCACAAGTATGATGGACAAGAGTTCAGTCAGGAGTTTATCTACTTGGATCAAGTAAGAACGTGCCGATTTGCTAATTTCTCATAATTCTGACAATTCAAAACTTACAGACGTATGTAATTCTCGGGCTGTTTGAAGTCAGCCATGCTAATCTGCGCGGAAAAGGCGTACTCTACGTTTTCTGGTGCTCATTGCTGATTTTCATTCTCGTTGGTATGTGCAATTTACTTAGCTCCTTACTAAAAAAATATCCTCAACCCATTTTTTCCCCATTGTTCAGGCGCTCTTCTTGCCTACCACAGCCTACTGATCACCAAGGGGGAAACCTGCATCGAGCGGCACATTAATCGCAAGAACAAGGAAGCGTGCAAGCGGTTCAAGCGACGCTTTCACAATCCTTATGACTTTGGAGCTCGACAGAACTGGCNCAAGCGACGCTTTCACAATCCTTATGACTTTGGAGCTCGACAGAACTGGCGGAACTTTTTACTCGGTGACAAGGCCAGAGACAGCAACTGCAGCTACGGCCCGCTGATCAGTCTAATTGTGCCCCTGGACAACCCGCCCATTGGCGACGGTTTCACCTGGCAGAAGGTCGAGCAAGGTTTCATTTGAGTTCACTGTGCGCTTGTCCACCGATTCACTACTGAAAACAACTGATCTCATGTAAAAAGTGTGTACTCAATCTGTTCTAGTCATANCGGAACTTTTTACTCGGTGACAAGGCCAGAGACAGCAACTGCAGCTACGGCCCGTTGATCAGTCTAATCGTGCCCCTGGACAACCCGCCCATTGGCGACGGTTTCACCTGGCAGAAGGTCGAGCAAGGTTTCATTTGAGTTCACTGTGTGCTTGTCCACCGATTCACTACTGAAAACAACTGATCTCATGTAAAAAGTGTGTACTCAATCTGTTCTAGTCATAAATATTTTTATTGAATACTCATACGATATAAATACAATAAATGTGTTAGAGTGTGTGTGTAGTTGGGTAGAACTTTGTATTGCTCAAGGTGAATTTATTGCCCATCTGNTGAATACTCATACGATATAAATACAATAAATGTGTTAGGAGTGTGTGTGTAGTTGGGTAGAACANGAGTTCACTGTGCGCTTGTCCACCGATTCACTACTGAAAACAACTGATCTCATGTAAAAAGTGTGTACTCAATCTGTTCTAGTCATAAATATTTTTATTGAATACTCATACGATATAAATACAATAAATGTGTTAGGAGTGTGTGTGTGTGTAGTTGGGTAGAACTTTGTATTGCTCAAGGTGAATTTACTGCCCCTCTAAATCGACAAAGTCAATCTTCCGCTTGATTGCTCGATTGCCTTCCATGTTTCGGCTTTTAGCCACGACAAAAGAAGAGACCGATTCGGGAGTGAGCAGCACAGTGGTGGACGGCAGGGTCTGACTAGGTGGATTGATGGAGCGTAAATACTGTATCTCGGTTTTGCACTTTGTTAGCTCTTCCATGACAGAGTCTAACTTGACGCAGGTGGCGTCCAGTTTTTTGTCGTAATCTTCAAAGTGTGAGTGGTACTGGCGAATTTGCTTTTGATTGGAGGAAAGCTTACGCTTGCACACCCTAAGTCCCAGTTGTAGAGATTTAATAGTCCGGTTGGCTCGCTTGTTACGACGCTCCAGCTTTTTAATTCGTCGTGTGGCAGAGCGTGAAAACGGATTGCGAGTTCTAGTTGAAGTTTCCTGTTGGGACGATTCCTGAGTATTGGTAAAAGACAATTCATTTGCACTTAGTGAAATCAGCGAAGAGTAATCGTTAGGCGAACAGAATTCGGGAATGCCTTCAAGCGACTTTGAGCTGATCGGAGCCACGTCAAGTCCGTGGATGCTTCCCGAGCTGCTGGAGACACTGTCAAAGAGATGAAAGTCGTTGAAGCCGCCAATGTAGCTAATATCGGGCAATGAGGGCTCAATTCGCTCTTTAAAGTACTCCACCGCCATTGTAGATAGATCGAAAAGCTCATCAGTAACTTTGTAGGAAAAGTTGATGACAGGCGTCGTCTTTAGATAGTGGAGAATTCGGCGCACCTCATCGAGAACCTGACCAGCAAAAAATGGACAGTGTCCTCGATCAATGTGCTTGCTGAACATGGTTTGCATTAGTGAGAGACGCATGTTCACTGTCTCAATGATGTCGAACTCCCGAGATAAATGGTGCTGGCGACGCGCAGACTCTCGACGAGGCATCTGACTTTTCAGTGTTTGAAGACGCTGTTGAATGAGGTTACGAAGACACTTAAACTCACTGCAAAAAAATCGTCATCAAAAGATAAAATAACAAAAACGGTAATGTTACCTATTCAGAATGTCGCTGCAAACAACGTCAAAGTATCGGCACACCTAAAGAAAGGATGCAAATTTTTAGTCCAAATACAACAAAAAGTGGAGCACTACTTACACTTCGGTTTACGGCAATGCCATCAAATGTAAGATTCTTCAGTATTTTGTACATAACTTCGTTTGGAAAGTTGCATATAGTCATAGCATTTGATGAACTTTCTGATGCTTGCAATTCAGCTATCTTGCAATCTTTTGTAGAAGCAGTGGAAGTATTTTTTACTGGAACGCTTTTAATGACAGAGGCTTGCTGTGGCTCAATGGATTTTTCACTTGGGCTCCGAAAAGCATCGTAAGCTGCCTGTTGTTCAATATTGATCACATGAAGTTGACGCAGACGAGAGCGTACGGCACTTCGAAGATGATCCAAAGGTTCAAATTTACTTTCAACTACATTGTTATTATCTGGATTTTCTTGCTGTTCCATGTTTACGTTTTTCAGAATGATTATTTTTTAAGTTGCCTAGAGATCAGTCAAGGTTCTAAGATGTAGATTCAAAAGGTCATTGTGTTTTCAAGTTAAAAAAGTAGAATCTTCCAAATGTTTTTATGAGACGATAAGTTATGGACACTATGAATAAAAAACTAAAAGTTGAGCTGGATGTTAGTATTGCACCAGAGAGAAAGGAAGAATAACACACATGGACGGATAAGAATTGGATCAAAACGAAACAGAGCCTTGAAAGCTACTTCAAGTCTTGAAACGTAAAATCTTTACACGTAAACAAAAACAGAAATCACTGTTTTTGTGGGATGACACGATTTGAGAAAGGTAGTGGCAGAGCCACAGCCGGAGAAGGCCGCTCTCCCGCTGTGGTGTCGTCTCTACCTGGTTCGTCTTCTATGAAGAATGCAGAGAATAGAGACTTTGAAGCATCGTTTGAAAACACTTTCCTTTCTACCTTCGCTGTACTAGACTGTGCTGCCCTCTGGTCTATAGTGAAGGTAAAAAGTAATATCTTCTCTAACAGTTTTTCAAAGACTCTAAATGTAAATCTCATCACTCCTTTTTGGAACACGGTCTTTTGTCGGCTGAAGGTAAGCCGCTTCATTTTGGATTCAGTTTGAAGAAGGTCATCATCTTCAAGGACTGCCAAAAGATGTCTTCGCTACTTGACAACATCTCACCGGCGAGCTTCTTCTACTACTCGCTAATCTGTACCACTTTGGCCAACTTATGGGACATTTACTTGCACTACCGCCAGGTACTCTTATGCCGGTCATCAACAATAAGCCTTACATTTCCTTTTCGTTTGTTTAGCATAAAGTCTACAAGGCGAAGAGTAAGGTGCCAATTGAGTTGGCACCCTACATCGACGAAGACAACTTTGCTAAATCGCGACTCTACAATATTGACAAGAGCAACTATGGATTCTTTCGTGAACTGTTTGGCCTGCTACAGAAATCCGTAAGAACTTGATTTTAAGTGTATTGTGTTGATTACCAACTTTTGTATCTTTTTCATGTAGATTTTCGTGTGGTTCTACTTGCCCGCCAAATTCTGGGGACTTTCCGTTTACCTTACTCAGCGGTGGCTCGGATACGAGCACGAAATCACCTCGACAATTTTATTCTTCTTCATCTCTTCGTCAATCACTTCAATTATCGATTTGCCCTTTTCGTTGTACTCTAACTTTGTCATTGAAGAGCGACATGGTTTCAACAAGTACACTCTGAAGTTTTTCATTTGGGACACTGTCAAGAAGTTTATCGTCTTTCAGCCAATCGTTTCGGCACTGATCGGCGGCTCTTGCTGGATTGTGTTGAAGTTCGAGGACCAGTTTTTTCTCTACCTTTGGCTCTTCTCCAGCACTATGGCTATTGTCTTTATGATCATCTACCCTTCTCTGATTGCGCCCCTATTCGACAAGTACACCCAACTACCTGATGGCTCTCTGCGATCTCGAATTCAGCAACTGGCTCACGAAATCAACTTTCCACTGAAAAACATTTATGTAGTTGACGGAAGCAAACGCAGTAGCCACTCAAATGCCTACTTTTATGGCGTCTTTAAGGCTAAGCAGATTGTTCTGTACGACACTCTGTTTGAAAGTGAAAAGGAAGGCGAATCAAAGGACACTTCTGAATCGGAGACCAGTGAAAAGGATAAACTGGTCAAGGACGATACAAAGCCCGCTCCAAAAAGAACTGGTTGCACTGAAAAGGAAATTGTGGCGATTATTTGCCACGAACTTGGTCACTGGAGTCACTCTCACATTTACAAGAATCTTCTAATTTCGCTGGTCAACATGTTTTTCATTTTCAAAGTCGCTTCTATCTTTTACAAAAGCTCGGTCATCTACGAAGCGTTTGGATTTGACTCTTCACACAAGCCCGTTTTTATCGGATTGCTCTTAGTGATTGAGAACATCTTTTTAATCTACTTTGAGGTAAGACAAATGCGTGTTTCTAAATGTTTTAAAGTTTTGTTTTAATGTTTTCTTTATTTTACAAACAGGTCTTTAACTTTGCTATGAGCATCATCAGTCGTCGATTTGAATTTCAGGCCGATAACTTTGCTAAGAACCTCAACTTCCGCGCGGAACTGATTAGTGCACTCATCAAGCTAAACAAGGACAACCTTAGCTTCCCGGTGTATGACTGGCTTTACTCTGCTCTCATTCATTCCCATCCACCTATCTTGGACCGAATTGATGCACTGAAAAAGATTGATTAATCTAGTTGATTGATGCGAAGTGTTCTGTGCACTGTAAACAGTCAAATTGAGATCTCCCTTTAAGACCTCATTTAATCATCTTTATTACAAAATGACTGGATATTTCCTCAATATTTTCTTTAATGCCAAACTTCCAAATTATTTAAATTTTTATTATTTTTCCATTGTCTGCTAAAAACAAGAACGTCAAACTTTGAATTTCAACAAGCGTAAGAAATATGCAAAAGAAATGATTGCGACATGTGAAGAAGCTGTAATAGTAATCAATAAATAAAGCTATATTCGATATATTGCACTGCCGACACATTGTTTTTCAGTCGATTAAGATTTGTCCTTGGGCGAGATCATCTTGCCCTTCCAGAAGTTGGCCAGCTCAGAGACGTGTGCCTTGGTCACCTTCTTCTCCTCCTTGATGGACTCCAACTTGAAGCGAACATCCTGCGAGACGCTGCGCAGCACTCGTCGTCCGCTAGTTGAAGGTGGTCCGCCATTGGATTGAGAGCTGCTGCTGCTGCTGAATACATTGGAGGAGGCAGAGCGAACTAATCGATTGGAGGAGGAGGAGGATGGGGGAGAGGAGACAATGTCCGATTCGAGGGTGGGTGTGGAGGCGGTGGATGAGCCCTGTCCACTGAACACTGCATCGTCAATGTCCTCCTGAATGCCTGACTCAGCGGTGGAGGAGGTGGCCTCCTCGGCGACACTGCTGCTCGACGAGGAGGAGGCTTCAATTGCTCTGGCTGCTGGCTGTGGCGGTGGCGAAGAGGGAGTTTTCTCCTCCTCCTTCCGACGATCTGCTGAGGATCCACTGTCAGTTTGGACGACTAATGATTGCTCGGTTGGATGCACTGCCTGTTCAGTGGTAGGTGCATCATTGCCTTCATTGCTCTGCAAGGTTTGCTTCAGTTCATCGAGAAAGGTGAGTGCAATCTTATTGTGTGCCAGAGTGGTTTGCACTGGCTGAGGGGATTCAGCCTCTATCAGCGTCGCCTCTTCACTGCCACTGCTTTCGCCTCTGCTGGCATCGATTGAATCATTATTGCTGTGGTGGTGGACATCAACGTTCACCTCAATGGTAGAGTTGCCATTGGTCATCAGCTTTAGTGGAGAAGCGTTTTTTGCTGGACTTTCGCTGTTGTTGTTCACGTCCGTCTCCTCTTCATAGTTTGTCAGCGGCTCACTGGTGGTGCCTTCCACAGCCATACTGCTCGTTGATGCGGTTTCAGATGCTGTTGACTGACTACTGCTGGCCACCGGAGCCGGTGCTGATGAGGGTGCCTGTGGTGGCGGTGGTGGCAATTGCTCTTCTCCATGGAACTGCACAAACATCGACTTGAGGTACGAGGTGAGATTGTCATTCGATTCCATAGCCATTGTATACTACTGCTCTGCACAGGTACAAAAGTAGAAGTAGAAGGGGAGATAGTGACAGAAGTGAATGGATAAGAAGGTAATCCGACACACACTGCTGCACTGAGGAGATGATCTACCACAAATAGAAATAGAAAGTACACTAAATTAGTCACTGCAAAAAAATATGTGTAAAGGATGCAGGTTTTGCGGACAGTTCAAGTGTCACCAACTGTTGGAGTTGATGAAGAAAGTAGTTCACATATGAAAAAGATGGCTTTACATGTTCTTTTGATCGTTTGTGAAATTGCCTATTCCCCATACCTTTTTGTACAGCAACTAGCGATGCCGATGAACGTTTTCTTCAGCGAGTGCTGGCGCAATAGAGGAAATGTACGACCACTGGCCAGTAACTGAAGTGAATGGAAAAACAAACAAGGAGTGGATCAGCACACCTCGTCTCGGCGATACACACCGCTAGCTAATGTGACCAATGTTTGCAACAGTAATAAAAGAAAAAGCAAAAGAAGAAAAGACATCCGCCGGTGGTCTGTCTGTCTACACTGGCTAATTGAATAGTCAACCAAATCAGTCGAGCCAATGGTAATGAGGAACACAGGGCGCACACTACTGAAGGCGGCAGGTATGCAGTGAGCAGCAGCAGGCTGGCGCCATTATCAAATTAGAGGAGATGCGATTAGTGATATAGCTAATGATAAATTTAAGAGAGACTGAGGAGCTGTACAGTCTGTGCACCTGACCGCTCTACCGCTGTCTTCTCCCACTTAGCAGGTTACAGCCTGTTCTTCTTCTTTTTCTTTTTAATTGTCCAGCAAAGGAAACCTTTGTCACACAAGTTAATGTTTTTGGGCCATCGAGAAAAGTTGTCCAACGCAGTACAGTACAGTGTATGTCTCGCTGGAGTTGGTCCCCTAAGTTATTCTCTGAGCTGCCGTGAAGGCAATTCAGCCTTGTGTTTTACATCTATCTACCTTTCAATCTATACTGTGTGTACAGTAATAATAAAGTAATGACTGCACACACACTTGATGGCTATAAAATTGCCATTGCAGCCGTCTCCAGTGATAGCGATGGCCACCAGCGTGCCGAGCTGAGTAAAGCCGACTGAGAGAGAAAAAGAGTGAGCAGCATTTTAGAGTCCTACAAAGCTGCATTCGCTGTGAGATGAGCTGTCAGAAGAGGAGGACGTCAGAGGGAAAAGACGGCGACAGTTGTGTGGCTGTCATCGAGAACGTCATAGCAACGAGACACAAGGGAACGAGAGAAAGATGAAATAAATCCGTTCTAAAGTGCCTTTGAGGTGTCAAAAGGTCTCTCATGTGCTTACTGATGCCAGTTTAGGGAAAGCAGTACGCTGCAAACAATAATTGATGAGTGAATTACTCGAAGAAAACAGAGCAATGGATGTGCACAGCAAACTCCGTTTGATAGCAAACTTTTGTTGCATTTTTGCCTAAAGTGCACATATTTTTGCATAAGTTGCATAAGACAGTAGAGCACTGTATTTCATTTGCCTACTCTGAGAGGACTGTACTGCTGGTTTAGCTGACCGACTTGTTTGGCGCATTTTAAAGTTGCCCAACTTGATTATTTGCATCACTTTTAATTTATTGACAAGAAGTAAGGCCACTTAAAAGTGGGCCAAACAGTGTGCACTTGTGATGATCGGCGATTTGCCGCATCATCGGCGTACGTAAGTGATGATGGTATCATCAATAACGCAATGACTAATCATTTGCAGTGATGTAATGACACTTCTCTGTCTGCATTGAATTTTAAACCAATTTAAATATACCCAAACAAGTGAATTACACACCAAGGGTCATCAAGCAGCGGAATTGTTTTCTGCTAAAAGTAGACACATCTCACTTAAGGTGTACACCTTTTCTCGTTTACTGACAATTGAGTTATTACCTTGGTGCAGTAAAGAAGAAGAAGACATGTAAAGAAGACTTGCTTGCCATCTAATGAAGTCATTAGCACTAATGGACACTTGTGTGCACTGTTGCCACCAGGTACAGGCACAAACACAGGCACATCTTCTTCACTTGAAGAGAGTCGAAAGACAATGGAGTAGACTACTGAATGAATGAATGAATGAAGAGACACTACCGTCACTGTTCAGTTTGGTCAGTTCGGCCACCTCACTAATGACAGGTTGCTCGCCAGCTCCACACACACACATACTGGGCGCCTCCCAGTCGATTTGTCTTTTCACATTGCAGACACACACACAAAACGATTTGTGCCACTTTGAACACTTACTCACTCTTTGACTCACTCCCTCACGGACTCTTCTTTGCCATTTCTTTACCTCTTCATGTATCTTCAACCTACTGTTTATAGGATAGTAGTGCTGCGTTGAAACACCTGATGATGAAGAAGAAAAAGTGCTGGTGTAGAGGTGGTAGATGGTTCAGTCGGCATGTTTTACTTGGATCCTCTAATGATGATGCTTTATAGTGAAGTAATCGGTGGATGAGAATGAGAAAGAGAAAGAGAGAACGAGAGAACGAGAGATCCGCTTTCGAAGTGTTACCACCACACCGTGCTACGCGTACACCTTCTTCTTCTTCTCCGTCGTCTTTTTCTCACAAACACAAAGCACCGACAATCTGCCGTCATTTGCTCACTGAGAATGACACGTGATTAGGTGAAGAAAAAGCCCCACAACAAAGTGAAAACCTTCTGCAGCTGTGGTCACTGACTCCAAACCTGATTAATCACCCTGCAGGCACACTAATGGCAGTTTCACTACCTCGAAGGCCAGTTCTCTCTCTGAAGCGACCATCTGCAATCTTCCTCCATCTTCTCCTCTTCTGCTCACTGAGCTTCTGGCCTGAGGGGGCAGAGCAGACGACCAAGATCTCCGCCATCCTCAACCAAGATGCCTTCCTCCCCTGTGAGACTCGTCGCTCCATCAACATTCACGTGCACGCCCGCCAGTACGCCGCCGCCGCCCTCAGCAAGGCCGACCACATCAACCTCATTCTCTGGTACCGCGAGGGCCACTCGATGCCCTTCTACCGCATTGACGCCCGCTCAGGAGTAACCACCAGCGACAACGACCCAGGTGGCAAGGAGGGCGCCGCCAGGCACTACAAGAATGACAGTCGCATTGAGTTTGACCTGCGAGAGATTACCCCGCTGCTGCGCATTCGAAACGTCACCGAGGAGGACGAGGGAACCTATCAGTGCCGCGTGGAGTACGCCAGTCAGCGGACGTTCATCACGCAGATTAAACTCAGCGTCATCGGTTTGTCATGCATCAATGGTTCTTCCTAAACTGATTTTTCCTGCAACCCAAACAGGAGCACCCGTCTCACTTCAAATCACCGACTCTCAGGGCAATCCGCTGGAGGGCGTCATTGGGCCGTTTAATGAATTTGAGAGCATCACACTGGTGTGCACTGCCTACGGAGGTGGGTGAGATATCACCTTTCTGTCAAGGAGGCAAAACTGGGAGAGACAGATGAAGGACATTAATTTTTAAAACACTGCACAAACCTTCTCAGTTTAGATTGCCTAACTCAATTACCCCGCGACAAGACACGCTTTTAAGATTAAAAATGTTTCTTCTCTCTTTCCTCTCCTTCTCCTTTAGGTCGCCCAAAACCAGATGTGATTTGGTTCAAACAGCGAGGATTCTACGAGGAGGTCGTCGACAACAGCTTTGAGTTTAAACTACTGAGCAGTCCAATCAACGGAACACTCTCCACGGTGGCTAATGTGCTGAATCTGCGTCGTCTGGACCGCACTGACTACCGCAATGAGTACCTGTGTCGGGCGGCCACTCGCTTCTACTACCCACCACTGCTGCAGTCCATTACCATTGACATGAACTGTAAATTGGTTTGCCTCTCTTATTGCATCTCCTCTCTGCTTTACTACTCCACTTTACTCTAAATGGTCCAATGTTCTTTCTTTTCTTTCATTCATTTTCTAACAGTAATGCCAGTAAATGTTCGCATCTATTCAAACCAGTACCACACTTCGCCACAATCGTCTCAGCTGATTGCCGGACAAATGGCTGAGTTTGGCTGCAAGACTGATGGCTCCAAGCCGGCGGCCAGTGTGGAGTGGTTTCTGGACCACCAGCGAATAGTGGTCAGCAAAGAGGCCTTGGCCGGATACCACGCTAATTACTACACTGACCAGGAGCTGCTGAAGACAACCGTCACCACTGGCAGAGTGATCCAAGTCCTCAGTGAGATTCCACCAGATGAGCAGCAACAGCAGCAGCAGCAAGTGCAGCCGCAGCCATCTGGGCCGTCTTTGCTGCTATCTACATCATCTGGTGGCATCCCCACCAGTCCTCTCAGCTCCTCCTCGTCCCTTCCACCGGGCAAGTTTGTGTCCATCATTGGATCGCAGGAGGCGAACAGCACCTTATCGGTGATTCGCTTTCTACCGCAGTACACCGATAATGGACGCATTCTCTCCTGCCACGCTTGGAATCCATTTATCGCCAACTCCAAGATTGTCGATAAGTTGGTGCTCGATGTAAAGTGTAAGTGAAAGTGAAAGTGAGTGTGTGGTCGACACTCATCAGCTTCGGCTATGAGGGTTGCAGGGCCTTTGTGTGTGCGCTAAAGTAATGTCCTCACCACCACTGCCGCCAACACCACTTTTCTCATCACCAGATGCGCCTCATCTGACGATTGGCCTCGGCACAAAGCACGACATTCTCGGACAGTGGTCACAATCAGCCAGTGAAGCCAGTGCGCCCGGCGTCTCTCCGACTGACAGCAACGGCGGCGGCGGCACCTCGAGCAGCAATTTGCCGAAATCGCTTCTGGTGGGAGAGCACTCTCCGCTGCTGGAGCTGAACTGTCACATTAAGGCAAATCCGTGGATTGACCAAGTGATCTGGCATGTGAATGGGGCGCCCATTACACCGACCAGCAGCAGCACCTCCGCCTCGCTGGAGCCCTTCTACTCCTCTGCCGTCGCTGCCGTCACATATTCTCATGCTCAATTTGAAGCTCACTCCAAGCGAACAT